TCAGAGTAAGATAGAGAAAATTAAAACATCTAAAATATTTTCAACCTAATACCAATATATTGTTGTTTCAACATATTATCCCTTATTCCATTTACTTCACCACGGTGAATATTTTGTTCTAATATATACAAATACAAAACAAATAAATATATTTTATATGTTTTTAAAAAGTCTATAATATCGCAGACGAGGAGAAATATAAATATTATCTATATATTCGATACTAACCTAAATATTATATATTTCATATTATTATCTTATAAATATTTCATATAATCGCGCGAAGCGCGAATAGTTTCACTAGTTAAATAATGTATATGAACCATATTGAGTGGTACCATCTTAAGAGTATTGAGACAAATTCAAACTTTCACAGGTACATTGATCACCATCATTACATAGTTTTTATGAAAATTAGAAATACAAGCAGAAGTCCAAAAACATTCAAAAAGACAACAAAAACAAATTGTTGTATTGAATGCAATTAGGTTTACAATTCTTGGCAACTTAGGCAAAAGACTCCACTCTTTGTTTTCTCTAATTAGCTCTACTCTCATTCTTCTGATATGTGCTTCCTTCTCGATTCTCTCTTGCTTCTCAATCTCATCTTGATGAAGAGCGATCTAGACATGGATTATATCCATGGTTTGCATAAAGCGAAGGCTCCTACAGACATAGCAAAGAACGTCGCATCTTTCACCATCTTCGCTAAGTTTTGAGTCCTCTCAACTCAAGGACTACTATAATCTTGCCGCTTCAGATTCATAAGTGAAACAGATTGTCCAACAACCTTCATAAATCACCTCGCTCATCCAATCTCAATAAAATCGACATATTCATCTTTTGCAACGATTTTTTTGAGTTATTTAAATTTAGAACTTTTTTGGTGGTTCCTCGATGGAGAAGTTATGAATGTGAAATTTCAAATTTGTGAATCTGTTAGGTATTAGATGGATTATTTACAACATGTCAGACGTGATTTATGGGATTGCAATTAATTAAAATGAAATTTACGTTATTTTTTAAATCAAATTATGTATCTAGCCACCACTTATGTATTCAGATCTCTCTTATTTTAAGGGATTTCTGTAAAATGAAAACTAATAGGGATAAGATGTAATTTATATCTCACACTATGTGATTCCTATAATTTTATACTTACTTTTATTTCTTTTCCCGTCCAATCAACCATAAGAGTCATATCAAGCGAACGACAAAAATTAAGTAAAAATCACATAAATGATGGTTAAATAGTTTCATTAGGAAAAAATTTATCTGTATCAAGTGTTTATAACAAGTGAATGTAATTTTCATTATTATTGATTTAATGAAATAAAATGAACTATAAATATTTAAACACATAACATGCATATTTACCTTGATATAGACATCTGATACGAGTAAAAATTTCCATTTTCATTACTTTGTTTCAACTTGCCGTTGCACTTACGAGGAGGAGGAGGTGATGAGGGGCATGCAACTTTTGTCTAAAATATATGGATCTTAATTACTATTAATTAAATAATACTCCCTCTGTTCCTATTTAATTGTCTATATTTTCTTTTTTAGATGTATCTATTTACTTGTCCATTTTGATAAATCAAGAAAGGACAAAAAAAAATTTCTTGTTATATCCTCATTAAAACTTCTTGAGAATTTCTAAGTTTTAATTCATCCTTTTTGAAACCATAATAAATAAGGATAAAATTGTAACTTTACTATGTTAATTATTGTTATCTTAATATGTGTGACTTTTCTAAAGTGGACAACTAAATAGGAACAGAGGAAGTAATAAAATATTTTTATTTAAGTAGTATAGATTTTTTAAAAGAAACTAAAAAGATAATGAGAAAAAAAGTTATCCTATAATTCCTTTAATGAGATTGAATATGAATGTGATAAACAATGACAATGGAGATGAGTGATAAAAGAGTCCTTATTTTTTTTAAGTCAAGTAAAAATTCTAAACAAATTTTATAGAGTGTTCAATGTTACCTTATAGTATCCTTTTTGTTATTTTTATTAAAATATTAATATTATGTGAAAATAATTAATATTTATACAAATATATAAATATTTTATGGAGTTTTCTAATGCATCGGGCTGGTGGCATATGTGGACAAAAGCAATGTCTATTTTGGAAGAGTAAAGCAAATGGTCCAAGATCAAATCTTACAGGGAGTTGCAATTTGTGAAAGGAGAATTATCATTCAGGTACTTTGGGGTGCCATTAAGTACCAAAAGAATGTCTGTAGTACAATGTAAGCCTCTTATTGATAGAATGCTGAGTAGAATTACATCTTGGACCACAAAGTTCCTCTCTTATACTGGAAGAGCCCAATTGGTTAAGACTGTTTTGTTTACTATCCAAACTTTTTGGCACAAGTCTTTGCACTACCTAAGGAGATTATTCAGGCTATTGAGAGTATTTACAGGAAGTTTCTATGGACAGGGAATGTTGAGGCTTCCAAAAAAAGAACTTATTGCTTGGGAAAGATTATGTTGGCTTAAAGTAAGTGGAGGTATGTATTTTCTTGATGTGTTTGTTGCGGAAGTCGATATTATAGAGAGTGATGGAATCACAATTGTTATATCTAAATGTAGCTAATAAATAGTAAATGAGACAACAACAAAAAGAACGTCAGGAATTAAAGAGGTTCGGCAAATTTTTGTTTTCTTTTGCCTATTGCTCGGACACAACCAACCAATATTTGTTTCACTCCAAAAGAGTACAAGTGAAATACTACAAGAGAGAAAGAAGAACAAATGTCTTACGAGATGAGAAAGCAAGTTAGAGGTGTATTACAAATGAATTAGGAGCTACCTATTTATAGGTCCTATTGATGTCATTCATGACATCACAACATGTCAAAATGTCAAGATTTACCTTGTGAAATCAATTTATGGTTTACCTAAATTTCACCTACAAAAAGGTGCTATCTTGACTTTTCTACCAACGAAGAATCATCCTCCTAACTACCATATCTTCTCATTAATCCATTTTTGAATCTTGTCAAATTTAACAGCGTTCACCTGGAATAATGCAGCTATTGATAAATTGTTGTGGAATTTATGCAAAAAGAAGGATAAACTATGGGTTGAGTGGATACATAGCTATTATGGGCATATGGGGAAAACAGGCTAAACAAGCATCATAACTAGTTAAGAGAACCTTTAAAGCTCATAAATACTTAACTACTGCTGGATATACAATGAACAAAAATTGCTTAGAGGAGCTCAGCATAGGAAGTTGAGTGATAGACTAATAAAAAATGTATATCCATAGTACTATTATTAAAGGATTGAAGATTAATAGAGTTAGCAAGTAAGCTTGGGACTTTGTCTAAGACTACTTGTTTTTTTTTGCTTTGTAATGTTTCACTTTGATTAATAAAATTTTATTTATATAAAAAAAATAATAACATTTTTAAAAATAATTTGATTTGTAATTTTATTATTCATTGTCATTAATTTTTAATTGATGCAAGTTAATTTTATCCGTTTCATTACTTTGTTTGAACTTGCCGTTGCACTTAGAAGAAGGAGGAGGTGATGAGGGGCATGAAACTTTTGTTTAAAATATATGGATCTTTACTATTAGTTAAATGATTATAAAATATCTTTATTTAAGTAGTCTAGATTTTAAAAGAAAGTAAAAGAATAATGAGAAAAAGGTTATCATATAATTGCTTTGATAATGTTAAAAATGAGTGTGATAAATAATGGCAATGCTTTGATAATGTTGAAAATGAGTGTGATTAATAATGACAATGGAGACAAATGATAAAAGAGTATATTTTTTTAAGTCAAAGTCAAGTAAAAATACCAAACAAACTTTATATAATTAGTTTAGAGTTCAATTTTACCCTATAGTACTTTTTTTGTTATTTTTATTTTAATATTAGTATTATGTGAAATACTTGACATTTCTTAAAATAAGTTGATTGTAATTTTATTATCCATTGTCATTGAATATTAGTTGATGTCTCTATACATATAAAATAAAGACAAAAAGAATATTTGAGGAACCATTACATAACAAGATTTATGTTAGAGGATCAAAATAAAATGACTCATTAACCATTAATAAATTCTTGAATGTGCTATTAGTAAGAGAGGAAACGGTGAAGATTTTATTTGACAATAAAATATTATTGATTTGATTTCGAAACAAATGGCTACATCATAAGACATAGAAGTGTAGTGTGAAGGCATTTGGAAACTCTCAAGTATGCTGGATCTTATCGCTTTTATATATTTCCAGTTATTTAAACAAAATAAATCATACATTCAAATTATATTATTTACTAATATAAAAATACAAAGTTATGTTTCATACATTCAAACTATATGATTTACTTATATAATAACTTTAAATTATGTTTCGGAAAAATATATAATTATAATTCGTGTGAAGATATTTGGAAACTCTCAAGTTTGTTGGATCTTTATCGCTTTTACATATTTCTAGTTATTTAAACAAAACAACTCATACTTTCAAATTATATTATTTATTAATATAATAATACGAAGTTATATTTCGTAATATTCAAACTATATGATTTAGTAATATAATAACTTTAAATTATGTTTCGAAAAAAGATACAATTCTAATTAATTCGTTCTTTTGCAAAAAAGAGAAAAAACACAGGAAAACAAAATTGCGGTGAACGTGGATCGAACACGTGACCTTCAGATCTTCAGTCTGACGCTCTCCCAACTGAGCTATCCCCGCTTGTTTACTTGATACATCTTAAAATTTTATACTATTAAAATACTCTTTTTGTACGGTATTGACTAACATTTTAAGATAATTATTTTTTTTATATTAATATGTAAAATATTTATCAAATTAACTTTTAAATTATGAAATTAATGTGATCAAATTAATTTTCGAAAAGACAAGGGGGAGCAATTATTAAAAATAGCGGTGGTTTTCACGTCTTCTGTTCCTTATCTTTAAAAGACGGAAATCATAGCCACGATCGTGAAGCAAAGAAATGGGGAAGACCTTCAAAGATGAATATTCATATGGTAATGATGTCCGATTCTGTATCAAAATCTCCCTTTTCTTTATTTTGCTTTCTCATGAACCTTACAATTTGTTTCGTTTTCGTTGATTAAACTGCAGATGAAAGACTCACGGAATCACAGGATATAATTGCCAAATATCCTGATCGTGTGCCGGTATGTTCTGTATTTTTTGTAATTTATTTGATGATCGTTGCAATTATTAAGTTAAGCACTGGTTTGTTGGACGGATTTGTCATGGTTTAATAGATAATCAACGGGTTTAAACTTTAAGGTTGAAACTCTATTTAAGGCACATGAAGACCTAAAGTTAGCTTCTTTTTTTTTTTTGTAACAATTAGCTTTCCTATCTCAATTGATTCAAACAGCTCCCTAGCCTAACCCACACTATCTCCAACTTTTAGCCCTTAAGTTTCCCCAAAGCTTTAATTTTAACTTGTTAATATGATTTTTGATATCAAATGCATTATTGTTGAGTCACCTTGGTAGTTCCGACTATCCTGGATTTCGGTGCATGATACGCACCATGCTTCAGTATCTCTATGGTTTCATAGCTTTTATGATTTCGCTATCATTGTGGCAAATTATTAGTCAGAAAGTTTACTCATCGTATTATTTGGAACAGTTCTGATTAGTGGTTGACACTTGTTAGGGGGCTCTTACCTAGTATCTTCTTTCCTTAACAAGTAAACTGTGATTTTGTTTATCAGCTTCTACTGTTTTTCCAAAGCGAACTGTGACAGATTTATTCCAACCATTAAGAGGAGATTATGTCTACTTGAATTTTGAGAACAACATTGATACTTGAGTCTTGATCTTGTCGTTCTTCTTTCTCTTTCATAAAATTGGACAAATATTGGATAGGATAATTTCATTAAGTTTCAAGAAATGAGGAAGGTTAAAGAGATCTAATGCCAAACAAAATTGTAGAGTGATTGAAGATAGAATACAGAGAGGTTGGATGCTGGATACATAATCTCAGAAATTTAAGGCTTTTCTAGAATTTCTACGAGTGAAAGTTCGGATGATGAAGGACGCACTTGATCACACCAAACGGAACTTAAAGGAAGACGTGTGAGAGAACTATAGGAGAAGATGATTGAGATATTGACACGGAGATGAAATATTACCATATATGGAAGTGCACCATACTTCGTTTATCAGTAATCCTATATAAGATGGGTGTCTGTGAGATTATGACGGATTGTGGACGTAGCATATAGGTTTTGGATTACTTCTGTGTAAGTAACATCCCCCTCGGATGCTTTCTTTAAAAGTTTGACTTGTCTCAAAATTTAAATCTTTTTATATGTAGTCCATGTTAACATCCCAAATCAAAGGTCAAACTCCTATCTTATCAAACATTAGGAGTCGAAGCAATAGTTGCTCACAATTTGTGTTGAGTAATGAATACTCTGGAGTTCGGCTGCAATCGTTTGCTTAAAAATTAACCTTTTTGAGAATGTTATATACACTTTGCTATTACTTTTCCTATCCTTAAGTATTTGGATGTTTGTTTTTCAGAAAGAAATATACTTACAACAAATAGTTCTGACTTACCATCATGTTTCACCCATTGGTTGTTATTGGATGGTCCTCCATGCATAGTGCATATTTGTCATCATCTCATGCAGGTATTTATGTTTTTGTAGGTGGTGGCTGAAAGATATTCAAAAACAGACCTCCCTGAGATGGAAAAGAAGAAGTAAGCAACTATCATCTTGGTGTCGCGTTTCCTGCCAAAAAAATCTAAAGTGATGTGCTTTCTTGTATTACTCATAAATGTGATGTTAATGAAATTCTTCTTGAATTCGCACCCAAAGAAATATCTAATGCTTATAGATGGCAGATTCTGCAAATGTGAATCTCTCTCAGCTCTTTAGTTCTGGATGCACTTATTATTTCATATCAAACCTTAATTGAACTGTAAATTTAGAAGAGTGAAATATCTTTTTTTATAAGGAAAGGATATTAAAAGAACTAATCTTTAGGCACGCGCCTCGCGGCGCGTGTACCTCGTATGAGTACAAATTTTAAAAATTACATAAATACCATTGATAAATTGTGTTTGAGTTGTAAAGTAAAAGTTGAAGAAAAGAAATAAGGGTTCTTGTATATACTATTTAGCTAACTCAGTGAAGAAAGAAACTGCCCTAGAAAAATTATTGAATGCCTATCATGATTTGGATATACGGGTTACGACTTTGCTTTAGATAAAATAGTGTAACATATTGACTTGTATTCACGTCATTTGCAACTGTTCTTATGTTGCAAGCCTGTGTAGTTCTAAGAAATTGGAACAATATTTCTCTTTTACCGTTTCACAACTTACAAAATGCATTATGTGAGATGTTTGTGAAGAGTTGGTGATTTGTTTTTGAAGAGAGATAAAAAATGGGAACTTAATTATAGTTGTTATGAACTACTATCTTTGTAGTGATATACATGCTTATGGCAATCTTTAAGGATTGATGTTAAAAAATGTGAAGATTTTAGATGTATGCCGCATAATTTTTTTTTGAATGGATTTTTAAATTTTTTTAAAAGTTTCAAGACAATTTATAATTTACATATTTGTGCATAAATATTTAAGAGAGAAATTTAACTTTAAAAGTGTAATAGTCATATACCTTCTTCTGATAAACGGCTCTAGTATTATTTAGTTGTAATACTTTTTAAGTGCCTAATTAAGAGAAGAGATGATCAAGGAAATCAGCAACTTGAGACACAATATATAGAGATATACGACCAAGTAAATCAGCTACTTGAGACAAAATACATAAAGTGAGACCATGAGCTTTTCAGTCTTGTAGGTTGTTAATTCAAGTTTGTTTAAAGAACAGCTGAAATAGTTCCAGTATAGTATCAAATTTAAGTTATCTTGTTGAATATACAATAGTATTAAGTAGATAAAACCTAAAATACACATTGGACTACATACACAGATTTTGTCTTCAACTCAAAAATTGTATTCCATTCACGGATTAAAAATTTTCCTTGAATAAGTTCTGACTGCTTTAGTTACAACAACTCTTCGGCCTAATACTTGTTGGAATGAATCAAAAGGCTTAGTGCTGATGAATGAGTCACGAGCTACTTGCTAGATGGCAACATTGTGTATGGCACTGGAAATACTTTAAACTATATTGCAAGACATAGGAAAAGAAGGAGAATATTAGATAAACAATTAAGATAGAAACATTACAATCATGCCAATATTCTATCAAGATCAAAACACAACTGGCAGGATAGGTTGAGTTGTGCTTACACCTTACTTGCCTCCATCCAACTTTTAGTAAACTGGAAACTTAAATCCTCCCCACACCCATTTTTTCCAGCTCACTCCATATGATATACGAATTTTAGTACATTCCTTGGGAATCTGAATAGGATAGATGGAAGTAAATCCAACTAATTCGGTTTTACAAACAATGATCGGAAGTATGGAAGACAATATTTGCATTAGTTGCATATCTATAAATAATCAATTGATGCATTGTCGTGGAAGACTGGAAATAAATGAACTCTTCGTACCAGAAAATTTTTTGTCTGAACACAAACCAAAAATAGATGTATAGGCTCCTCTGATAGATAGTTGTATCGGACTATTAACCCCTCACTGGCACAGGTTCTTTTAATTTGATACATGACGACTGAGTGTCCAAAGGCACCCACATATCCGAGAGCTTGCTAGACATGTCATGTATTGGCAGGTAACCTTTAGGTACTGACAGTTTTTGTCTTCTTCAACAAACAAGGGGAGGGTTGGTGGATAATTGAATTCAATCTCCATCTATTTATAAAACAATATGTTTATATTCTAACATAACCATTCAACTTGCCATCTGTAGTATTACCAAAGCAAACATTCAAGGATTGTGTGAGAATACAAAAGGTATTACCTTTCCATGAATCCAAATTCATTACTCAAATTAAATTAATAGTCGAGAAGAGATACCAACATTATCAAACATTAATAATTCATTATGATGTGCATGCATTATACGTTTTGTATGTTGCGGTTGAAGGAGTAATTAAGGGTATTAACGTCCATCAACATTTTAAGGGCACTTAAGTCTATATCAACATTCGAGTCTGTGACTTCCCACTTAATAATATATTATGATGCTTAACTCTCTTTTCTTTGTTTTCTCTTTTGCTTTTTTTGGTTTCCATTTCAGAATGATAAATCTCTCTTAAGGAATAGATCTTAATTCTCACATTTCTCTTTTGCTCTTTTTGGTTTATGTTTCAGAATGATAAATCTCTCTCAAGGAGTAGATCTTAATTCTCACATTTATTCTCTACTTTCTTCTTGAGGAATAATTCTTCTAACTGAGCTTAAGTTCGATCTGGTTGGACTGCTAGTTTGACACGTGCGCGGTTGTGTTTTCACATAGATTCTATAGGCAAAGATCCCTGAATGTCTCACATTTTAGTTAATATAACTATGTTCCTCTAATTGTCCTAGCTTTTTGTGGTTAGTCAAATCATGTCTGGATTGAATTTTTTTTCTTTTTGTTAGGAAAATTGGACTGGTTGATGGACAGAGAATAAAAAATGCAGTAATTCTCTCTTGGTTGTTTAAATAAAGTTGGATTTTAAAATATTTCTTCTGATGGGATACCAGTTTTCTTGATCCAAAAAAATGATCTCTTTATTTTATATCAGTCACATTCTCGTTGAGACTTTTCTTTCTGTCTTGTTTAAACTAAATATGCTGCTTTACTTTAACGGAAAAATTTGATTTATCTCTTGATGAGTATTTAGTTCAAGTTTTGGTTAGGTTCATTTCCTTTCAGTATTTTGTTTTTCCTTTTACAACTTCTTGCTTTTAGTTTGAAGATATTCTTTTAGTACCTCGTTATTCCATCACTAAAATGTAGTCAATTTTTTATTTTGGAAAATTTGAAAATATAGCGAGCGGATCTTATCTTTATTTTTTGGTCAAGTGTTGGTTTATATCTTGAAATGAGGAAACTTTACAACAAGGAAGCTTGCTTCACACACACTCTTGCCATCTACCTTGAGCTATGGACTCTGGTCACAACTATGTGTAACACACTGGAAAAAGTCTCAGGCATCCTGCATAAAAATGATTCTTCTACCATCCCCTACTTTAAATAGTATTTTAGGGTGTCAGATTGCAATGAAAGCTTTTGCCTTGTATTGACTTCCTCTCCGAAGGTCCTGTTTTGGAATTTGATTTTGGTTTCTTGGAGAGGTTGTAGTTTGATTCAATGTTGTATGTACGAGCAAACAGAGATTGGAAAACCCACTAGTCCCCCTACCCCCAACTCCAACCCCCTAAAAAAAAGAACTCTTGTTGTTCATGTAGTCCATAATGTTTCCTCTTTTATTTTCTTTTTTAATTCTTCCATCTTTTCTTGGCTACAGATACCTGGTACCTCGTGATATGTCTGTTGGACAATTTATCCACATTCTGAGTGGCAGGCTGCATCTGGCTCCTGGAAAAGCTCTCTTCGTGTTTGTGAATAACACCTTGCCTCAAACAAGTAAAATGCCCAGTTCTTGTTCATAAGATGCATCTGTAATAATGACATTACAAGAATAAGTTTCTCCATCACTGATCTCATCTGGATTTTTTGTTGTTGCAGCAAGCTTGATTGAGACCGTGTATGAATCTTCCAAAGATAAAGATGGGTTCCTCTACATGTGCTACAGCAGTGAGAAAACCTTTGGTGGTCACTCTTAGAAAGTGTACATTGTAAACTGAATATATGGTATCTGGATTGCATGTCTGGCATGCATGGTTGTTTATCCTGTAAATTCTTGCACAGAGACGTGTATATCTGTCAATTGAATTCATGAATGAAATTCAAATGTTAAATCTATTGGATTTCAGACTTGATGTTGTGATTGTTGAGTGACAAGGTTATAGTAAAATGGCTATCTTGTAAACCTCCATTGTGAAGAATAAAGAATACAAAGGTTGCAGTAAGTTGAAGGAAACAATTGAATTTCCCTACCTCTCAAGTTACATTCTTTTGCAAACGAAGAGACGAAAAACGAGCTCATAGTTGAGGTGAGTTATCTTTTGATCCATTGAATTGAAAAGCAAAATAACTTTCTCCAGTTAAAAAACAAAACAAGAGAGATTAAATGAACGTTGGAACCAAATGGTATGGCAACGTTGAAGATTACCAAGTTTTGATATGCTGATGGTAATAAAAACAATTGAAGAGTAAGAGACTACGGGATCAACAAAAGAATCACGTTACATTAAAAATATAAAATATTTTAGTGTAAACTGGGAGAAAACATCAAAACAATATGAGCCCTCTAAGAAACATCTACTAAAAAAGGAGCTAATATCCAGTATACAGAATCAAATTGTGAATTAGAGCTGCAGGTCTGAGAAAGCTAAATATATGATAATACAAATATGGTGTTCAGCAGCAAGTTAACACTCAACTTTTCTGCCTAGCAACCAACAATCGGTTTTCTGGAGAGATATTTGACGGGACATACTTGACAAGCTCACATTCAAGTCCATGTTCGTTGAGCCACATAAACCTTCCAACATCTATTATATCCTTGCACATCAATCCTACAACAGCTCTATCCACAGCCTTCATATCCTTCACCATGTTTTTGACGTCATATGTATTTGGATCTGATTCTACGTGCTCGTTTTCCCTGTGAACCACAAGAGACAACCATTTACGAGCAAGAAAAGAAATTGTGGCAATTAAAACAAGAGCACACCATGCTAATGTGCCTGAGATGATCTACATCTCAAGGTCAGGCGTCGATGAGCACACTAAACTAGTGAAGAACCTCTTCTTTTACTTGTGTGTGCGTGGGGGGGAAGACCATACCTCTTAATAATACAGATAGAAATATCATACCTGATTTGTAGATCAAAAGACCCAGTGCCACAAAGATCTGAACCATGATCTGCATCAACAGCCCAGCTGGTAAGCCATGTCATGGCATTGAAATCATCCTTAGTGATTCCCAAATCCAACATATATCGCTTATCTGAGGAACGCATCATTCAAGAATTTCAGCAAATCCATAGTAATGTTAATAATAGAGCATTTTTGAACATATACTAAAACAGGGTCAAAATTGATATGTGCAATAGCAAGTAGCACGAGAGCAGAAGGTGGATTACTTATGTAATGCTTCCACTGACAAAGATGATGGCAGCAAGTAGCTATAGCTAGGCCGATCAGGTGGCACGTCGAATCAGAAGGAGCATCATTATGTTGATTGCATTGTTTGCTGATGCAACATCTTAGAGTCATATCTGCATCAAATTGCTACTGTATTAGCTCGCCAAGTAACAGTGGCCTGAAGAAGAATTGAATGCACTGGAAAACACACAGTCCATGTTCTTCTGAAAGCACAAGGAAAAGAAGTACCTGTAGCAGGGCCACAAAGATGTTTGCCAATTGCTAGATAAGGAACTCCCTGTAAACTCTCAACAGAATTCAACTTTAGGTCCTCAACTGCAAATGGTTAAAACAGCTTATTCGAAGTGATGAAGTAGAGAAACCATGAACTGTTGTGCAGAAAGAGGAAGAAGACACCTTTTGTTCAAACAATAGTCAAGCATTTTCCACAGAACTATATTACACACAACAAAAACATGAAATGCCTTTTAATTTCGCTTCCATCATTTTGTCAGTCTCTCAATATTTGAACTCATATAACTAGCAATATTCTTAGAGTTTTCAGTCTATTTCACAGGAAACACTTGTGATACTGTCGTTCTGTCTAAACACACTCGGAGCACATACTAGTGACATGAAGAACTTGGAAAAAGGTCATTCTGCCCATGATTTGGGTGAAATGCTGTTTTGTATGTTATTGTGCCTGTGCTTTTTAACTTATATACTCCTTGCTATTTTTATATTTGGTCTGAAGGGTAATTAATGTATTCACATGTTTAAAGAATAATATAGATTTGCTTTGGACTATAAGTTTAGTAACCGCTAGAATGAACAATTCACAAAACTGGAAACTAAGAAGTCTTCGCATCAAGGCCTTCAACATCCTTCCTACCTTTTAGTACTTCCTCCATCGTGTCCCCCCTCCCCCACAAAGAAAAAGGTCCAAGACTTTTGCCATCTCAAACTAGGTATCTGATTTGACTGGACTCAAATATTAAGAAAATTGGAACTTTATCCTACCCAAAAGAAATGCATCCAATGTCAAAAATCAGACAGGACACAAATATTAAGAAATCGGAACTTTATCCTATCTAAAAGAAATGTATCCAATATAAGACTTCTTCTAATTCTGGATCCAGCTACAAACTATCATGGCTAACTTAATGAATCAACGCTAGATTTGAAGACTATCAAAGTATATACCCAAAGCTACAGAACAGCTAAAACTCCACAATCACCTGTAACGTTTCAGTGATTTTATGGTCAACACACCTCTACCATTACATTTTTCTCATCCACATCAGCAACCTCCCCAGTATATTATTTCCTTTTGATGTGTGGCCATTCAACTATCTTCAAGGTTCTGTATAGAAGTGATTTTTTACCCAAGTCTGATGGAATACTAGTTATTGTCTTTGAATTTATTAATAGCCACTTACAATAATGCTCAATACATCAGGTAACCTGGTCTAACCTTATCAGTTCCGTCATCAAATGAGTCGAGCAGCATGATTCGTTTAAGCCTCTTCACATCCTTGTATGCTGATTACTATTTGCTAATGCTTAACAATGATGTTGGCAGTTTTTCCTATTCTTAAAATACCTAATTCTTGTTTTCATTTATTTTTTCTTGATCAGGTAAAGTAAAGATATTATTTAAGTAGGCATCCAGGGAATGCATCTTTGACCTAATTCTTGTTTTCATGTGGCTAAATGATGCTGGAAACATGCTTCATTTATGGAAAAAAATTTCAATATCTTCTCAGCTCCATGGTTTTCATTTTGGGACTTCAAAATCTATCACTGTTGTGGATCCAATATACTGTTATTGCATATACATATAGGAACGATCAGGTGAAGGTTGCAAGATGAAAAAATGGATAACAAACAAGTATGCTAAATTCCAAGGGGTGATAAGTGGTTCATAGACTACCCATTTATCACTCTTTTATCTATCTGTTGAACTTTATGCACTCTCTACCATATTAAGTCTCAACAGTTAACAAATTAGCAGGAAAATATGTAATTCATTCAAGTAGTACAAGAGTTATTCAGTTGGCTATCATGTGAAACCGTAATAAATGTCGTTTTCTAAAAGAAAGATAGTTCTCTTCACATATGTATCCAAGGAAACCATCTTAACCCTAAACAAAATAACTGAAATTGCAGGGGATAAAATACACGAACAAAGAAAAAGTTCAACTTTTTTATTAGTTAAAGTGAAAGGTTTATAAGCCCTTACTGTCAATTCTCAATCGCTCCAGCGTAACACTCTCTTTCTGTCGCAAACTTCGATCAGCCTGTACATAATACACGAATCATAAACGCCAGGGTGTCTATAATGTTCTAATAAAGCAAAGCGGGAAAAAACAAAAGAGATAAATAAAAGCTGGAAAAGGCATGATCTTGATGCTTCTTTAGCATTTCAGATTTTAGCCTAACCTTGAGCTTGTATGATTTGCGTTCAACTAATAAAATCTTCTTAATTCTGTAACAGTCAGCCAGAACTTGTGTCAAGTACCCTCTTCCTGCTCCGAATTCAACAACGGCGGGAACATCATCGTCGTCCCCGGATGCTTCTAACTTAACTGGCCCTGATACAGCATCATCCTTACAACTTTTCAGAACCCCAAATTCTTCTAGATTCCCTAGAATAGAGGCCTGCTGCATTACATGTTTCTCTTGAAATGGTAAACCCCTGCAAAAAGAACAACACAATGGGGTTTGAAAATGAGATAAGAATGCCATTAAGGGGAACATAAAATGCACACAACACATACGAAAGAGTACGATAGTAGAACACCGGTCCACTTGTCGATTAGTCCAAATATCACAAGCTTGAGGAATCTTGAATGAATCACCAATGTCACTACATATGGAAGCATGAATAGACTTGATCTTGTTAATCAACTGGGAGAATTCAAAAAGGGTCATCCCGTGAACTGCATTCCTCTTCATCTCTGAACTAAAATTCTGCACCCCTTCTTCTTCTTCTTTGCCAGCATTAATACCCTCCTGGTAAAAAGGCTGAATCGACAAAGATTGAGCTTGTTTGAAAAATGGGCATCGCTTAAGATGACTCTGCAGATTCTCTTCCAGCACAGAGCTATTATAAAAGGCAAATAACATAAATTACATTGAAGAACATAGTAAATATGATATGTATAGAAGGATGAGGAGAAAGGGGAATTACTGAGAAGGGTGTATAGGGCAAGGAACCCATTGTCCATCAGATCTTTGAGTATGGTTTCCGCAGAACCTGAAGAATTGAAATCAAAAGAAAGCTTCCATTGAAATGATGGCAGTAGAAACTTTAGAGAGTTAAAGAGACTGAGACTGACTGTGAATCTCGGAGAAGGACGTTTGAGCAAAATCTCTTCTTCTTGGGAAGCCAGAAGTTGCAGCGTGCCGCCATCTCCGTCCTGCTCGGCTTAAACCCTGCTGCCACACTAGATTTATTGTAGATTTACCGAAATAAGTAAATCAATGGAGAATATAAGCTAACTTTTTAACTCTAATTTGATTAAATCAAACAATGTGATTTAGGTGTGAGTTGTCAACAACACATTAAAAT